ACATCTCAAAAAAAAAAAAACAGAGGGGGGGGGGGGGGGGGGGGGGGAGCCTAGTGTTTGTCACAGAAGTTTGCTCCAAAGATCTTCTAAACGATATTTTCTTGGCTCAGTTTCACGTTACCTTTCTCCACCGAACAACCAATCCAAAACCAATATTTATTTCGATTGCTTTTCAATTTCACCCATAAAGTAGAAAATAATGATTTTGACTTGTAGCCATGGAGGCAAGAAGAAAAACCAATGAAAAAGGCACAAGAGGAGATCAAAAACACAAAGAAGCCACCGATTTTTGGAAGCACAAAGCAGCCATATTTTTCCGGTCAATTGGCAGCCAAGTTTTTCACTTTTCACACACAAATCACTCAAATGAATGGCTAGGTCAAAGTAGGAGTGGGCATTTTTTCCCGGAACCAGTGGAACCGGACCGGAACAGTTTAGAACCGGCCGGTTCGGTTCCGGATCTTCTAAAAAATAATTTGGTTTCGGGAAAAATTATTAAAAACCGATCGGTTCCAGTCCGGTTCTTGGTTCTAGTATGGGAACCGCGGAGAATCGAATGGTTCTCATAGAATTTTTTTTAGTGGGCATTTTTTCTTTTTTGGTAAAATATAAGACTTACTCTCAAATTTGTCCCGAAACCAAATTGGTAATATATATGACTTACTCTTAAAGTGAAAAGAAACTTCCATCAAGGTAAAACAAAATTAAAAAAAAAAATTGTAGTATAACAACATAAGCAAAAGGCAGTGACATATGGAAATGAAACAAATGTTTATGTATATAGTTCACATATCACTTTTTAATTAAATAATTGAGAAAAATACTGAATTGTGATTACCTGAAGGCTCAAGAAAATGTTAAAAAGGGATCCTTCAGTTGGCATTTTTTTCAGTAAAATATATGACTTACTCTCCAAGCACTTTTATTTTGTTTTCATTTTGATGAAAGTTTGTTTAATCATTGAAGTACTAGACGGTTTATATAAGTTAATATTTGTTTGATAATAGTAACTTATATTATTTGCATATTATTTTAAAATTTATATACTTAGTTTTCTATTAATCTTTGTATAATATGTTCGGCTCTTCTATATTTTTTTTAAAGTATCACATTGAAAGTTTCTTTAGATTTTTTATTAGTAAACATTTTATTTTGACATCTTTATGTAAAGAACCGGACCGGACCGGACCGGAACCGATTGGTTCGGTTTCGGTTCGGTTCCATAGCTAACAATGGAACCAATGGTTCCATTTCTAAAATTCTCATTGGTATTCGGTTCGGTTCGATTCCTTTTAGAACTGGACCAAATCGGACCGCGCCCACTCCTAGGCCAAAGCTACATATTTGGGAATAGGTTAGACTTTAATTGGATCAATAAAAGGGTAAAATGAGCCAAGATCAAAAGCCATCCAATAAGTAAATATATATGGGCCATAAGCAGTGTTAATTTCTTAAACTACTTTCAACTATCAACGTTGTTTTCTAATCGAGCCTTTAGACTTGATTGTTGGTAATCAATTCATTATTGGCCGAGGCTTGTGAAACTATATTTCGATGTTTACATCATAACCCAAGATTTATTGGATATAAAAAATTCAACAGTGTTGCCCGGCATAATGTGCCATTAATAAACAATGTGGACGCGGAGAGGCAAAGAAGAGACACTACTAGAAAGGGAGGCAATAGAGACGAAATTTTAGCAACAAACATCTTCCGTAGCTACTACCAACGGATTAATAACAAATTCGCAACGAGTCATTATTTTATCATTTTTAAAAATTATCTATTAAATTATTGACAAAATTACCAATGAAAGTCTTCCGTTGGTAAAATTACGTTGCTAATCCGTTGGTAAAAATATAAAAAAATAAAATAAAATAAAATAATTTATCAACGAATTGTCCAACGGATGATTCCGTTGGAAACTATATATAACAGACTAAAATAATTACCAATAGAAAAATTAAATCCTATATCTATTTACCCTTCTCTTAGAGGGGCTTTGAAAAAAATTGTTGCTATTTAGATGAGGACCAAATGAAACATTCTGTTCACCGCCAATAAGAACCCTTGCTCCTCAAAACTCCCCCCTCTCTCGACCACCGAAGAAAACCCTACCTCACTCAGATTTTGAAACCGAAACCCGACCCGTCGAAGGAGAGATCCGCCTGAAGCACACCATTCTGTCCTAACGAGGCACTGAGTTTGTATCAAAACATTATACGAGCTACCGACTTCTTCATGTGGCCGAAATCTCCAGGTGTCCTCTGGCGCGATGTATTGACAGAGAATGCTCGAAAGGAGTTCGAAGACGCCCGATTTGAGAAGGATCTGGAAATTGTCGCTCCTCTGATGTTTGGAGGGCCGGATGTCTGCAGTCAGCTGTTGATAAGCTTGTCAAGAAGCAAAAGCAGCAAATTTAGGATGAAAGCAATGAATCAAATCGACGTTGAAGTTTTTTGGTAATAATTGAATTAAATTTTGATTATTTTGTTGATTAATTTTAGTGTCGATTGATTTTATATTCTTTACCTTATTTTATCTGAAAATATAGATGCAGTCATTTGTAATATTTTAGTTGTGAAAATTTAAGCCTTATGCGAGAACGGTGGGAGTCCGGTTACAGAATTGGGGATTTTTTGGAAGAATCATTTTTTATTTTTTACTTTTTTTATTTGGTTTGTAAATTTGATATTCTGTGCTAGTTGCTATTCTAAAATTTGCTCTGTTATTTGCATTTATATATTTGTTCTCATTGTCCTGATCATTTCTTAAGGGATGAATACTGTCCCACTTGTAGAATAAGGATATATTTGTGTTCGATTAGAACATCACAACTTAATTATGTATTTGCTAGGCTTGGAAATCTTGGGTTTTCCAAGCATTTTTCAGACTTGTCGTTTCCTTCTCAATGGTACATACATTTTTGGAAGTCCTGCTGCTAATGATTGACTGAATTTGGAGGATGAAAAATCTGTCACTACCAGTGATCTTTGATATACCGATGTGTAGTTCGAGAGAATGTATTTATAGCATTATATAAACGCCTTTATGTATACATATGAATTTAATTCTTGTTTATTATATATATGTTATGGAATATGGATGGATCATGCCAGAATGGTAGTGTGGATTTATTCTTGCGAAACTAAAATCTTGGGAAGACTCTTGGCATCAGTTCATTTTGTAAAGTTCAAATTGCCGAACATACATTGACAGGGCACGGAGTTGCTGTCAAGATCCTTAATAATACATAAGAAACTGCTGCAACTTTAAGCTGTTGGTTCAATGCTTTAGAAGGAGAGAATTATTCTTGATGTCGTGTAGATTTTACACCTTAATGGATGGAAGTTGAATGCCCCAAAGGTATCTCAGGTACAGTAATCTGAGACATGAGTGGACGAAGAGAGGAATTTCATTAAGGTTCATTCACCAGAATCATTAACATTCACTCACCATTTGGTTGGTCCTTAGGGATTGGCAAAACTCAGGTAATAATAATGTTGGCTTCCATGTCTGCATATGTTTATTTTATATATTATTGACAACTATTTTTCTCAAAATTTATTCTTATCCTGTTTGCTGTAAGTTTCCCTAATCCCTAGGTCCATCAGTAGAATGATTGTATTTTGATTTTATACATTAGTTTTTGCTGGAGTTGCATTCCACTTAAACTCAGATAAAATATATTCGTGGGGTTATTGGTTTGGAAGGATCAGTTTTTTGTTGTCCAATCCTTCATAATAGATTATTGTGCATTAAGCAAATGATGAGCTGGCAACATAGGAAAAATTTGATGCCTTCATCTTACTTTCTCAGATCAGATGAAGAACTAGAGAAACGAGAAATTTAGGCCGTCTCGAGCAAGATTTCTTTGATAGGTTACTTTTAAGGCTGCTTATCTTTACGTTGTCGAATTACTTATGAATGTTACTGTCAGTTCAATGTCAAACCTGCTCCATGTTTCTACTGTAGGGATTTGGATGATCAATTTTTAGGCAGTTTTACGTATCAAAAAAAAACTTCTTAGGCAGTTTTACCGTTCAAAATTGGTTGTTGTGTATTTGAGCTCATAATGACTTGGCAGCATTGGACAACTTTGATGCATTCTCCTTACTTCTTTGAATCAGATGAAGAACTAGAGAAGCAAGAAATTCTGGTCATCCCAATTAAATACACCCCTACCTTACGGTGATAAAACTATAATCCATCTCCTTTGCATCACATTTTGTAGAAAGACCACCATCCTAGTTCAGTCCCTTTTCTATATAATTCTAATAATATATGTCTCATGTTGATGTTATAAAGTTTTTTGATGATGATTAAAAGAAACTTGAAAGTTTTTTTTATCAATATCCGCTTCTCCAATTCCTGCCACCAGTCTAGGTCAAGTGTACAAAGCTCGGTTGAAGTACTCTGGCCAGGTTGTTGCTGTGAAGGTGCAAAGACTTGGTATTGAAGAAGATTTAGGGCTGGACTTTTATCTTACAAGAGGTTTAGGTTTCCTTATATATAAGCCCTTGTTTGATCCCCATTCTTTGGAAAAAATGAATTCTTCAACAGTGTTTTGATATAATTTTAACCATACATTTTTCAATAAAATAATATTACAAGCAAATTCCAAACGTTTTATTATTTTTTAACCACACATTTCACATCAATACACTATTCAAAAATTCATTTTTCCCTTCAATATGAAATTATCTTCTTTAAAATTATGTGCACAATAATTGTATAAATATTGTGACTTGTTTTACCTCAAAAGATGAAAAATAAGTTAGACATAGTGTTAATCATCATAGAGTCCAATAGGGCATATAAATACTTTCATATTTACTGGACTTCAACAATTAAAAATTGGGTTTATTTATTTACTTAAACTATGTCTTTGATGCATTCCATCACATGCAAATAAGAGGTGTTTTTTTTGTTTTTGTTTTTTTTAATAAACCACATTACTGTATTTTATTAATATAACGGCGAAAAAAGATAGTACGATTGGTAGAAGGATATTAACCAAAGATCCAACAAAAGAAGAGAAAAGATTTCCATTCGGAGACGGAAATAAAATGAAACATAATAAGTAAGTCAATGAAACTCATGAGGGTGCATCCCTAGTGTAGTTATCATAGATCCTGTCTTCATAGACAGAGGAGATATAGAAAGTGTATCGTGCACGATTCATAAGATTCTATAGTATATTATTTCATGTAACCTGCCTCTCCCATGACTTTTCGGACCAACCAACCAAGTCTTGTGCAATACGTCTATGTCATAATCATTATAATGCTCTAGGTCACTAGCAGAGTGGAGGGCTCGCGTCTAGGGAAAGGGGCCATTAGATGGCAAGTGGAAAGGTGACTACGACATATCGCGTCTGGCTGAATTTGCAAGCAAATTTGTATGCGCATTGAGAAGCAGAATTCTATTAACTTCGATATTTGCTGTACAATCACCTAAGGACATATCGTCATGTCACTAAAAATGTCTGAAAACCTTGTCTATAGAGATTTGGGACTCGAGATGGTAGGCTCAAGTGATGAGGACTTTTCAGACTGTTTAGAATAGATACCAAATCATTAAGAGCAAATCGAAGGTAGGTTTCACCTTCATTCGATGTTGAATTAATCGATTAGTGTATGCTTGAGACCAACCTTTTCACCACCAGTAGTGTCCATAATATCCTTGTCAAAGTAATTTTATATGTTAAATACAGACAATTTTACACATTGGTGAATGTGGAACCCGAACTCAAATTTTTTGCATACTTTAATGTCATATTGAATTCTTTGACAAGATTAAACTTTTAAACAAATAGATATGCAATTATTTATTTATTTAAATTAAATCATCAACAAACATATGGAAATTATTTTCCTATCATTGATTGTTACTATGTTGTTGTCTTGAAATATACGGTGGCCCAACTAAAATGTTTGTTTTTTGGATTGATAGAGAAACATCAGTCACTTGGCTCATTCCGATGACAGTCCTCGTAACCATAGTTTTGGAAGAAGTGATAGAGACAAGACACCTTTTTTAGCTTCGCACGATGGTCGTGTTTTGTAAATATAAGTGATTAAATTTATCAATTTTGTTCAATTCAATATTCGAAGCATTTATAAGTTTGATATCATGTATCCTCGAGTTGGCATAGAATTTTTCTCCACTATGCATTGAGAAAAAAACAAGTGAAGAGTTTGATAGGAATTTAATTATAAATTTAGATATTTTTCAATCAGTAATTATTGTTTAGTCAAAAAAATTGAAGTTGAAACTTAATATTGATTAGTGAACTGATTCTTCTCAAGACGATTTTGTCAAATCACATAAATTTGTATATTTTTTTCTATTAAATTTTATTCCAATTATAATGTAGCAATAATAAAATTCCTATTTCTATGATACTAACATGTGTATTTTGTCATGAAAAGAGAGCGTCTTAAGTAGGCTTTGGCACATTCTCTTAGTAAACTAGCTATCTGAACAAGTGTGTGTGATATGCTACTCCATATTAACCTCCTGAATGGCGATTTTTATAACTAGACACTTTGATTAAACAATTAATTTTCTTCTATAAATTTGTGTTCTCTTTCTTAGTTTTCCTTTTGTGCATATTATCCAGTGTCGGCTGTTTTCTTGACAATTTATTAACAAAAAAAAAAAAAAATTGACAAATAACTACACAACAATATTTTTCTAAAAAAATTGTATTTTCTAAAATTAAAACCAATATTTCTGATATTACAACAAATCTCTACTAAACCTTGCATCCTGCACTCATCATTAATCTAAAATCTTCAAAATTTACAAATCCATCACCATCTTTATCTACCCCTTTGATCATTGAATGACAGTCTCTAAGACTGCATTTTCCACATCCAAGACATTTAAAAACCCTCTGCAAATCTTCAGCAGAAATTAATCCATTTTTATCAGCATCAAATACACCAAAAGCTCCCATTATATCAATCCCAATAGCATCATTATCAAGTTCCATGGCATTCAAGAATTCTTGTAAATCAACAAAACCATCTCCATTATTATCCATCTCTCTTACCATTCCTTCGGCTTCTTTGTTGGCGATTTTCTTGTCATTTCCGAAGTTGAGCAGCACGTCTTCTAGCTCGAAACTTGATATGTTCCGGATCCAAGAAGAAACCCTAATCTCATTAAGATTTCAGATGATGAAAATTATAATATAAGAATTAGCAATGAATATAGAAATAAAAGTAAAAATAAGAAATTTGTTGTAAATGGTAAGTTTATTGGTGAATTGACAATTGTAATTCTATAACCTTAAAAATTATTATCATTATATCCTTAATCATTCTCTATAAATATGTTGCTTTGGTTATCCATAAAACACATACAAGTCTATTGACTCATATTTTCTCTTATCTTTTTCTCTTTTTTTTTGTAACACGTTATTATCACGAAAACTTAATTCTTCAAAATCTAGTCAAATAGTTGTTCATAGGACAAATAGGTAGGCCACTCCCTTCGTCGTCTTCATGTAAAGCAAGGAAAAAGAATTCCTAGGGCTAAACAATGAGATGCAATTCACATCATGAATGTGCAAAAAATGTTGTTCATCGGAGTCAAATATGTAAGTGACTCCCTCACCCTTATGCATAATGGGGGAAAAAACCCAAATTTTTGAATACTCTTAAAGTCGTGACCCAACAGGCAAAACATTATTGCACGACTCTCCATAAATGGATATTGTGAGAAAGTAAGGATGCGTTTGGTTTAAAATTTTTAGAAATTATTTTATGACATTTATTCAATTAATTTGATTATTTAGTAAATCATAATAATTTTATACTAATATATTACTAGATAATATATATTTTAAACTTGGTGAATTTTACTAGTGAAATCTTGAAAAAGTGCATATAATAGATATAAAACAAATTCAACATTAACTCCATACAACCTTTCTCATGAATTTCAGAATGTTTTAGAATTTTTTAAATAAATGTTTTTATAATTAAAATTTTACCTTCTATAATCCAAGATATACAAAATGAGACTTAACATGTCCTTGACTTGACGGGCCATGTGCCTTAGGATATTCAAAAAAATATGACACCATCTGGCGTGTCACATACATGCCCCATCGCATTCAAGTCGTATCTTTGTTTAAAATGCATTGTACACTGCAACCTACCCTAGGGAGCTTTAGTGCTTCACAACCATCTGCTGATCGGCCATTAACATATATTTGGATTCTTAACAGCAAAAAATAGAAGTGCGTGTCTTTATTTCTCTTGAAATCATTTATTAATCCATTCATAGAAGAGTCGTTGTCTTGATACTCAGTACTGTAGTCATTTTCAAGCCATTGCTACAATACATGCAAGCCCTGGATCCTGTACAGTGGTTTAGAGATAATTTTCCTTTTCAAACATATATCAAAATTTGCCTTGACAAAGTGCTTCGTCATGCACACTGGCAATCTTCCTAGTGTTCCATCACAAAAATCAATTTAAGTTCAAAATTGAATCATCCATTCCTAGTCCATTTTACAATATTCAGAACAATGCTGAGAACATCACAACAGCACGACAGCATACAATGATCTCTAATTAAATATTAAAAAATAATTTTTTAATTATATCGTTGAGAAAATGTCGTTGATTCCAAAAACAAAGTGGAGGATCGATAATTATATCATTGAGAAAACTACATAAAGATAATTATATCTTTTGAGATCATTAATTGGAGGTCGCCAACTTAGATCACAGGCTTTCTTGATAATGATAGCCATTGACCCCTGTCCACTTATATCTTTTTGTATATAAATCGCCTAAATTTTGAGCCAACTTTAGATCAGGTGTGTAAAGATGAGAAAATTAATAGTTCTCAATCTAAACTAATTCCAACGAAAGATTAACACAGCCATCATGGAAAATTTTCTTTTCTACTACAGTCTAACACTCTTTTTCACTACGATTATGAAAACTAAAATATGGCTAAATAATTTAATTGAAAGCAAGTTATAAATTTACCTATTTGATGACTGGTTGCTCATTGTTTCTGCACTTTCACTCTTCTCTCTGCTCATTTTGAAGCTTAATGTTACTCTCTCTCTCTCTCTCTCTCTCTCTCTATATATATATATATATATAAAAGACAAGTCACTCCTACCTAGTCCACTTCAAAAATTATACTGCCAAATTAACTTTGAAGTGCGGTCCAGAAACATGTTTTTAATCAAATGCTCTACAGTCTCCACATTTTTTTCCATAATGGAGACAAGTACTTCATTGTAAGATTCTTATTTTTTAATTAACATTATAAGATTATTGGTTTATTTTGAATATAATGAGACCATTATTGGTGAACAGGATTTGACATTTTTTAACTTTTATGAAGGATTTAACAAGATACAGTCTTACAATAATGTTTAATGTGTATTAAGTCTTCATTGCATACATTATATGAAGTCTTCCGTTAACTTTGTAAATTTTGCACATGTTTTAATCATATATTTATGAGACCCATAATTTTTATCAACTTTTCAACCTCATATTTCATCAAATTTTATCAAAATCTAGATTTTTTTTG